ACATGTACCACTGCATCCTACTAGAAAATTTATTCTGACAGCATCAAATGGTAACAGAAATATGGCTTGGTGATGAGAAGTAATGCAGATGAAGTTTTAACTGTATTTTGCTATTACTATCCCTATTTTTAGTGCACATAGAAATATGTAACGGAAATGTCAGGAATGATGTACACGTGCAAGATAATGTTGGTGTCCACAGAGGATCCTTTTTTCCTTATCTGATTAGTACAGTTAATGTTCAAAGAGTAAAAAATGGTTGTTTTACAGTTTAGATTGTGAGATGGCAAAACCTGATTTTTCAACTATGACCTGCATGAGATAAGTTCTTTAATTTATATAGTGTTTTTTTAAAAATATTTTTGTGAATTGGTGTAAATTGTTAAGGCATATAAGTTTGTATATCTTTATAAATAGTTTTGTTATTTATTTCTTGCCCCTGTATAAGTGTTTAGAGTCTCATTTGTTCCAAACTTACTTGAAGCTGAGCTATGAGTTTGGGGTTTTATTTGTTTCCTCTTTAGTTTGGACAGGTGGGTGGTAGGGAGAAAGGATTTTGTACATGGAAATGGAAATTCTTTTTTTTTTTTTTTTAATGTTGTCAAGGACTATTATCTTTTTTTTTCCAGAGAGAGAGAATTTTTTAATATTTATTTTTTAGTTTTCGTCAGGCACAACATCTTAGTTTGTATGTGGTGCTGAGGATCAAACCTGGGCCCGTACGCATGCCAGGCGAGTGCACTACCACTTGAGCAACATCCTCAGCCCGGAAATGGAAATTCTTTATGGTTTAAAGCAAATGTCCCACTGAAAGCAATTCAGATATCAACAGAATTATTTCAGGTTAAAATAGAAAAAAATAATTAACCTGAAAACATTTTCATTTTTAATATTAACTAATTTTGTACTTACACGTGTTTATTTTGTAAAACATTTCTCTAAATTCTGAAGCTAGGAGAAAAGTTGGTGAGTTTGTGGAATAATGTGTTTAAAGAAAAAGAAATTTAGGAAAAAGCATGAGGATTTTTTAAAAAATTGACTTTGAGAGTATGTGCAACTTTGTTGCATTTGGAAAATATCTGGTTTGGAATCTTTAGAATTCTAATCTGAAGTAGATTTTATGGAAAAGAAACTATTTTTGTTGTGTTTACATCAAACTAAAGACTGCTCAGTAGTAGCAAGGAAACTGCAATTTATTTTCCCCGACTCTTTAGAAAGCTCTGAAATTTTCTGCACTTTGGGAGTATTTCCTATTAATGCTAGATCTGTCTTGTCTTCATATTTTCCTCTAAGCAAGTGTCAGAAAGTGGCTCAATGTGAAGATGTCAAAGGGTTTGATTCTGCTAAGTTAAACGCTTTACAATATGTATCTGTAATAATAAGTGTGCTTTCTTTAGTGCATAGATAGCAACAACAACATTTAAAGTACATTTAAAAGAGTGGTCTCCTAGATTTGGATTTCATATGTACAGGAGTTTCAGTTATGTAAGGACTATCAGGAGGGAATTTTAAGTTTTTTATAATAATTGTAAACGTTTTATTAAAGATTTACTAGTGGGCTGGGGATGTGGCTCAAGCGGTAGTGCGGTCGCCTGGCATGCGTGCGGCCTGGGTTCGATCCTTAGCACCACATACAAACAAAGATGTTGTGTGTGCTAAAAAATAAATATTTAAAAAAATAAAATAAAATAAAGATTTACTAGTGACATTGTGACTGTTAGCTTCAAAGATGATTTATTCCTGGAAAGGTCATTTCTGATCTTCTATATAATCATTTATATGTTCTGTATGGTTAAATTACATTTATAACCAAAGGTTGAAGCTACATTTTTTTTTTTTTTTGGTCTTAGACACTTTGAAGTTCATTTTAAATCCGTGAATTTTAATATTTTTCATCTTAAAATTAATGCAAATAGGTATGTTTAAACTTGAAAATGAAAAAGATACCATAATCCCATCAAATTCTGTGCCATTA